CTTCCCTCCACTGGGAGAAGGTCGGGTGAGGGTCTGGTCCACATCTCTGGAGCTGGTAGGGAGTGTAGGCTTTCTCAGTGACACTCCAGAAGGGTGGATGCTTGCCAACGCTCTCGAAAGCATAAGTCGAGATGACCACATTGAGAAGTCTTGCCATCGCTGCAGTTCCCATGGAAACGGCCATTGCTGGAAAGGTGTTGATAAGATGGAGACTGAAGAAGAGAGCTAGAAGTCTTTGATTGACAGGGTCTGTGTGCATGTGTGGGATCTATGTCAACTGTCCACATCCGTGCTCTGGCTTTGGATGAGTAAAACACATTGAACCAACTGTAGCTCATCTCTCTCTCTGTCTCAGTCCCTGTGTTCTTTCATTGCCACCTCCTTCCCATTTTTCATCTTACTTCATTTTATGTGTTAGAGGGAAGTCACAAATGGCTCTTTATCCTCTCCCTTTCTTCTTCCTCCTTTTCGTCTCCGCTCCCAGGATTGCTGGCTGACAGGATCGTCAAAATCTCTCACTGTCTCTCTCAGAGATAATCAATGCTCTAGCAGCTACAGTGGCACGTGTAATATTAGACATTAGAGCAGCCCTTTGAAGAGTGGATGGCTGGGGGGTAGCAGGAAGGGATGGAAAGAGGAAGGGATGGATGAAAGGTGGATTAGAAAGGGATGAATGGGGACATCCTGCTGTAATCTCTTTGTTTTTTCTCCCTCTATTGAATCTCTGTTTTCTCTTTTTTCCCCCCATACATCTCTCCAGCTCTCCCCTCATTCTTCAATTAGGGCAATCAGTCTGATTTTAACTTACGTAAGCTTTACCTACTATGTCACTACCTATAGTTCATCACGCATGGGAACATGGGGTACTCTGGCATGCACACACACCAAACACACCGCACAGCACACACACACGACACCAGCACACACACGACACACACACACCACACAGCAACACACACACACAGGCAGCCCTCCTCTGGGAAGACAGAGGGCTAAATCAAAGGCTCATGTTACCACCCAACCCTTAACACAGTTGCAGCACCTACAAAAACAGTCATGTCATTGCAAATTGTTCCCATGGTGATTTCTCAATGTTTACCTGGTCTTTGGGACTGTGTGTGTGTTTGTGGTGATGCTGTGCTGGTGTGGTGTGTGGTGTGCGTTGTGAGGTGGTGTGTGTGTGTGTGTGGTGTGTGTGTGTGTGTGTGTGCTATACTCAAGCCTTTCTCGTGCACGCTTTATTGTCTTGTTTGTTGCAACTAAAGAGTTGTAGCTTAGCATTTCCATACTGGCAAAACTTAAGAGACTGCCTAATTTTAGAGGAATCTGGATGAATTTGTTAAAGAAAGTGTTGCTATAATAGTTTTTCAGGCTCATAATTTCCTGACACCCTTGATAGTGATATTGCAGTCAATCTGTTTTGCCACCTGAGCACTATTTTCAAAGAGGAGAGCAGTCTGTCATCTTTAAAATAATCGGTTACTGAAGTTGTAGTTTTCATCCCTTCCCCTGCCCGTGGATCCACCGCCAAGCTAATGCGGGCATTATCACATCATCACTGAAGCAGATCTGGTTTTATTACCTCTTTATTAGCCCTGCCTTTTCTTTTGGCATGCCAATGAAGAAAGGAGATGACAACTGATAATGCATAGAGGGATGTACATAAAGAGAGCTTTAGTCCAATTACTAGAGATTACCTGTGACGGCAAAAGTATTTTCAGTGATTGTTAGACTTTGGGAAAGCCCCCCCAGTATATCTCCCATCTTAGTTAATAGGTAACAGATAACAGAGGATTGTCCCAGGAAAACCTGAGGCTTGTCTTAAAAAGTCTCTGGTTGACTGTCTAGACAGGATGTAGTAAGCACATCGCTTTATTAGCTCATCTGTCTCTGTCCCCATTCTTTTGCACAGTTGTATGTGCTTTACTTCTGTTGTCGTACTGCCTGCTTTTCTTTTTTTGTGTGTGCCAGTTATCCCTCTATCTCCTTTTACGTGGAATCCTATTAATCTAAGACTGGAGCAATGAAACTATCCAGGGTTTAGCTAACCAAAGAGGCTTTTATGGAGAGTTTAGTGTCTCCTGTGCTTACTATTTAGAAAGTGTTCTTAGCACAACTTAGTCCGCGCAGTTCCCTGGAATTTGGGTGGCTGCGTATTTGAACTGCGCATCGGCATAGCAACAACTACACAGACACACATAGTTATTCACATGTGGCCATGGTATTGTCTATGTAAAGCATTACTGTCAATCAAGACCTTTTATTAATATGAAATGACTATTAATATGAATGTGTAGTAAGGAGAAAGAGAGAGTGGTGTGGGGTTTTTGTGTGTGTGTACAAACAGTTGTCCCTTCAAGGTCCATTAAAGTCTATAAGCACACATATACTCATACAGTACATGCACACTCGACACTGCAAGCTTTTCTGTCTTCAATCAAATTTTGAATAGAAGAGAGGGGTGGTTAAAAGAATCAAAAGAAAGAGGGTGAAAGAAAGAAGGATGTGAATAAGGCGGGTATTAGAAAGGAAAGACCATGGATGAACAGCAAAGAATGCACTTGAACATGAAAGAAAGGCTGGCCCGACAGTGAAAGAGTGAGTGAAAGGGAAAATGCTTTTAAAAGCATCTCTAAACACATTTTTGAAGTTTTGTTACCGTTAAACACAGTTCAGTACATGCAGCCAACTCTTCTTGGCTTTGCTGTGTTTGGACAGGTGCTTTGGGTAACAGATATATAACAGATACAGCAAACAAGCTGGGAAGTTTGCTAATCTTTAGTATATTAAAGGTTCGTACTAAAAAAATAACTGTTTTGTTTAAAATGTCATAAAAATCACAATGATTTAAAAGAAACTTTTTTAAAAATGTAATTCAGATGCACTGACATTTTAAATTACTTTTTGAGTGTTTACTTATATGCCTGTCCATAGAAGTGCACAGGATGCACTATGTTGAAATGACTAAATGGATGTAGTGGCATGTTTGTGGTTGAAGTTGCCACAGTAACTATGATGATACTATGCATATACTGTTTTCCTTCTCTCTTTATTTCCTTCCCCTCTCCTCTCATCTTCTTACACACTGTATCTTACCCAGTCTTACAGTTACACAAACCTCTCTGCTTCCAGCTTCACTCTTGACTTCACTCTCCCTCTGGCCCCTTTTGCCCCTCTCTCCATCACTTCTAGCTTTGGCCTCATCTCTTTCCGTACTTCTCTCTGTCAGTATGCCCTGCATGCTCCTTCCCTAGTGGTCACTCCTGTCAAGCAGCAACAGTAGGCCAGCCTAGCGGACACAATGTGAATGTGTGAAACAAAGAGGATGGTGCTTTTACCTCTCACACTTTCCTCATCCTTTGCCCTTGTCTCTCTAGCTGTTTATCACACTCTTCTTCTGTAACTGGTTTTTAATTTTTCATTGGTTTATTTTCTGGTCAGTTTTTGATTTCCTGATATTTTTCCTTTTCCATATGCTCATCTATCTTTGTCATGTCCATTCTTATTCTATTTGCCTTCCTCTCTTATTAAGTTACTACCATATACTAATATGTCCTTCATCTAAACTGGTTCACAACCTTAGCAAAACTCCTTATTGGTTTATTGGTATCTTTTCTTTCTCTCTGCTAGTCTTTGGTTGTATCTCACTTCTCTCATGCATGTGCATCCTTCTTGCCCTTAATCTTTTTTCTCCCCCTTAGTTTGCAAGTAAATCACAGCCTTGTGTGAAGTGACACCTGTCCCCATTGTGTTGTTTTGTCTTTTGAATAGCCATGTTCTTTGTTCTGTAATACCAGGGGAAAACAGTACCTTCTGTACGCACCTAGCTTGTATGTGAATGTTGAACTAAGGCGGCACTGTAATACCTTTGTATTCAGTAAAATAAGTGATTTAAACTTTTCACAGCCGCATTTGTTTGAAGACTAAATGCTTTAAATGTAGAAATTATGGAAATGTTTAAATTAGATTTGTGTAAATGCTGTTCACTTTTGTGTACTATAAAATGCCTATCACAGTCATAGGCTTTTGTTTACCCGGTTTTTTGATTGTCAACAAACTGGGCATGTGCAAACAGTTGTTTGCTCAGTTTTCTCACACCTTGCGTCCAAAATGCCGCGCTTTGGCAATGTGCGTGCAATCATCTCTCAATTTCTCACATATTAAGCTTACACCCATGTCACGGCAGGGAATTGACACGTTTTGACACTGCGCTGTTCCCTGATTGAAGTGTAATCGGAACTCTGCACCTTTTTCAGTGCGCCAAATGCATTGTGGGTGTTCTCCAGACATGATCCTATCTTCCCTTACTTCAATCCGGTCCGCGGCAAATTGACAAATAATACCAGGATATCACATTGCTTCTATCACTACTCCTCAACATTTCTAGCGTAGCTCACACACACACATACACACACACAGACGCACACATACACA